AGTCAAGCTACGATACATGTGCAGATAACCGTTCAGCCGCTAACGACAGTACATAATGTTCCTCGTTGAAATGGCCATTTCCAATGACATTATTTTGGTAGTAGCATTCTCATATAACCATTCGTTAGTCCACAAGTACCTCAAGTCAGTTTCTAGCATATGCTGATGCTCAATATCTTTCTTTTCTCAACTAACCCCTTCATCTCCCCACCCCCAGGAGGCTCCCAAACTGTACAACCTCGGCGTCACGGAATGCTGTCGCCGACTCAACGTCAGCACGCAGTGTCAGCGCGCATGCGCATTTGACGTCGATCTGGACGCGGTGCTGGCCATGCCAGAGTGTGCCAGAGAGATGGGCAAACTGATGACGTGCGCGGCAGGTGAGTGACGTCATTAGTGACGTATTTGAGGGACGTTGCTTTGGTTAGACACTACTTATGATCTTTCTTTCTGGCGTTATTGGCATGGCGTACAATCGTAGCGAACATCACTAGGCAGTCTGGTTACAATACAGTCCTTCTTAAATACGCAACCAACAGTTGAAATGTTGCATTGACTATGGCAGCACACGTTTGTTAAATATTTGCGTCCACGACTGAAAAGATACGATCAGTTTTGAAATTTAAACTAAATCAGCTTATGCGGTGTTTGTGTCAACTTTGGGATAAGGCTAGTGAACTCAATAGGGAAATCGCCCGTAGAAGCTACATTGATCGAATAAAAATTGATACTGGCCTTAGCTTCCCGCGACCACCCCATAGACTGCTAAACACATTCTGTTTCCTCCTCCCACCGGCAGATGGCTCTGATCACCGTCGCTGCTGTGCCAAGAAGATCGTACCGACCCGGTGTCTGGACTGGTGTCGGGGCGAGCCGGTGGCCGCTGTCCAGGAGTGCTCAATAGGATACGCCAAGGAGATCGTCGACTGCTTCGAGGAGGGAAAAGGTACGGGTTGGCGTCAATGAGTTTATGGGATTTGAGCGGTTATGGTTTAAACTCATGGTCTGCAACTCTGCAGTAATCCTGATGGGAAGATATGAAACGACAAACGTATGAGATTGTCACTTGGTCACATGATCAGACTGAAAGGGCCTAACCCAACCCAATAAACAAATTGTTACTTGTATCCATTGATGACTATTGGCAATGTTTTAAATGGAGTTTTGTGCCTAAAGCATTTTTTTTTCATCTGCTTGCGTCGACAAGTTATTTCAATGCAAGTGAAGCAGCCATGATTTTGTTGATCGTTTCGTGGATTATGTACAAAGCTCTGTGGACTAGGAAATGTGAATGACCTTACTTGTATGAGACGTTTAAGGAAAAGAGCGGATAGTCTCGGCCTTCACGTGCCGCCATTCTTTACTCCAATGACGTCATAATAACGTCTCGTGACGTGTGTTTCAGCCGTGCTGCCGGGCCCTCCTCTCAATGTCCGTGTGGAATCGGTCAGCAGTAACGCCGTCCGTGTCCGCTGGGACGAGCCCGACAAGAACGCAGACAAAGTCGAGGTCTACAGGTAAGGCTGGGCGTGAGCCCATCCTAAATTAGGAGTTGGCTGATTAGGGTTGCATGGTTTTCACAGAATTACATAATACGTAGGCCTAAATAACAACAACGATCTGCTCTTTTTGGTGGATTATTTTCAGAACGTTTTTTTCGCTGTGCTTTTATTGCCTCAGGGCTGATCTAAACTACGAACAATGAGCATGCCAAATTATGGCTGCTTTCGAGAAACGATCAAATGGAACCGCTGTTAAAGCTCAAAGAACCGCACTGTCGCCATACCTTACGCCACCGCCCCCGTTTGCCCTACCGTAGGGTATACTGGCGTGCTCCGGATGACAAGATCTCGTCGCGCAACGACACGCGCTCGACATCGCTGCGAATTAGCGGCCTGCGAGCCGGCGTGGAGTACGAGTGCGCGGTGAAGTCTGGAAACCACTACGGATCGAGTCAACTCACCACGCCGATCATGTTTGTCCCCGGCAGAATATTCGTGTCCTCCGAGAGCACCGACGAAAGTGAGTGCAGGGGGTGGGATGGGAAATTTGTGTATACCTGTGCGTTTTTATATCGTCTTTTAACCATAAGAGGTTTGAATGTAAACGATTTTTTTGGTTTTTCTATGGTTATTAAATAGGTACCTAGCTGCATGGAATTCTTGATTAAATTATTCCTCCGTCGTTGCCCTTGTGACGGTCTGAAACAATTGTGCAAGCTGTAAAACATCCACTTGTGCCAAACCTATCGGCCTCGTGACGTCTCCCATTTGTCACACACCTCGCAAACAATGATCCGACCATAATCAGCTGCTTCACTCATGCCTCTACTGCCCGATCAGTGTCATTTTCTCATTTCTCACCACCCCATCTATTTACCCCACGCTGTGGTGCATTACCCGCCGGTTTTCCCCCCACAGACTACTACATTGGCACTGGTACGGTTCTTGCCGTGGTGATCATCCTCGTCCTGGTGCTGGCCGTGATGATGGTCGGAGCCGTGCTCTATCGTAGAAAGAGGAGGAAGGCCGGAGCCGCCGACCGCGTCAGCTTCGAGAACCCCAGCTACCTCCGGGAAATGAACCTGGAGAACCTTCAGGTGAGGTATTAATAACCCTAGCTAGAGTCGCGGCTTCGAGAACCCCAGCTACCTCCGGGAAATGAACCTGGAGAACCTTCAGGTAGGAACCTCAGCTAGAGATTTCAGGGTCCTAGCTTCATACGGGAGATAAAGCTGGAGAACCTTTAAGACGGAGCACTTCGTTCAATCCGTTGTAAATTGAAATGCATACATTTTTTCAGGTAACTGTAAATTTGTGTACATCGGATCCAGATTTCTTTTCATTCTAACCACTTCCATTTTTCTTTTACAGAACACATCGGAATCGTCATTCTCGGGCGGCCTGAACGGAACACACGGCTTCCACTCTAACGGCGACCCGGCAACTCTTAGTGTCAACAGTCACCGCCAGACACCGCCACAGTCGAACGGCGGCAGCCAATCAGCATCGCCGGCGCGATTCGGTGCCCTCCGCAACGGGCTGGGATTGGTTGCCAAAAAGGCGGGATTCAAACAGTTCGAGAACGAGCAGTGATTGGTGGACGAGTGATGACGCTCGGTGGTTTGACGAGGACAGCTCCACAAATGACTGTGATTGGCTGCCACGTTTTGGGGAAGGACGCTGATTGGTGGGCGAGGACACGCTGGGCGTGGCTTGATAAAAACGGTGGTGCGTTGACAATAGAAACAGTGAGTGTGATGAGCGTTGTCATATCTATGAAATGCGAGTACGTTTGTGTGACATACTGATGAAGTTTTGAATGGTGTCCTTACGAACAATATTGGTGACTGCGTCGAAGAACGATATACTCAATAGTTAACCACACACCACCATCAGGTAAATGTCAATGAGCGCTTAAAAAGCTCTGTCTTATTAAGATGGGTGCCGCGTTAGGAAGAGGTTTATGGTCACGTGCATACTAATATGATGTCGAAAATAACATCGAAAGGTGATTTAGCATCACGACTCAATTACCGTTTATTCTGATCTGTGACCAGAACGAATATGAAAGTAAGGATGTAAAGAAACGGTAACAGATGTTGACACTGTTTCTGGACCTCCTTAGCTCTTGTTACCCTAAAATTTCGTGCTTTCCTTATATGCATGTGATTTAGGGGCCATTTGCCGCATTCAGCTTTCGCTATCATGTTTAAATGAGTGACACATGGGATTTGTCATTGATTTTTCATGCTACATGACTAGGATTTGATGTATTTTAACTATAAGGCCTCAGTATTGCTTGTTGCCAACATGTTCTGTGATTTGAATACGTTATTCTCAATGTCAAAACATGATAATTCCGATAATCGATATTCTACCATGTTGGGGGCATCATATCTTCGGTGGCTGGAAGGAGCCCAAACTCGAAGTCCGTTGTTTTTGGTTGTCAAAGTCCGTTTATAGTTGGTTGTCCATTGACAGTCCATGCCTCAGACTCTAGCCTTTCTTGTGTTCGCTTCCTGCCACTTAACTGTGATCCCTAGTTGTTGAACTCCTTAATTTATCGGCGAATGTTGCACGTTGTTCCGTGCCTCGCCAGGGATGTACCACATAGATGGTACAAGGGCATTATAGGGCAATTACATATACACTGGTGAACACATCACACCGATGATATTCGCAGTAGCACAATTCACTCGAGTATGAATGACCGAGTATAAGTGTTAAGTGGCGTTTATAAGATACTTGACTGATATGTGAAGTGTGATGTGCTACTTTGTATTCGAGTGTTCTGTAAACCTGTCTGATATGGGTTGAGAGGTCGCATGTGAGTAAAATGATAGTGATTGTTACAATTAGATTTAGTGAAATGAGCGATCATAACTTCTTGACTTTCCTTGGCATTCGAATCTCTGTACACTGCCATTTCCAGTGAAGGACCTAGGAGCCCAATAGATTGGCAGATGAACAAAGTTTGGTTTCACACAGCGTTTTTATAACCCTATGAACAACTTGTTACAATTGCTTGAATGGCCCCATGACACACACTAAAAAGCAACTCGACATCCACTTTGATAACACGATAGACTACCATGTTAGACGGCTAGATTCGTGCGTGCGAACTGCGAATGTTTGTAAGTTGTGTATGAATGTCGAAGTGTTTGCACACAGTTGTTACACGGACGATGTTTGAGTGCTCACTGGCGTGTATTTAGTCACATGTAACGTGCCCTCATCGTGTAATATACGTCACGGAGCACCTGAGTCGCTGTTTCAATTCAGAACAGAACAGATCAGAAGTGATGTTGTCGTGTGACGTGTACGCGTCGGAGGACTGGAAAACTGTTATTCTTGAACAGAAGTTTGCGAGTTATTTGAAAGTAACCGAGAAAGCTGAACACTCTAATATTCGGCACAAATTGTGAAAGATATTGATTTAGAAGAGCCTGAGCATGAGCGGGCGCTAAGGAAAAAAACGTGGCGTTGCGTATAGCACACTAAAACCAACGGTAATATTTATTGCATAGTAATATCGAGCGCGTAGACAAAACTATAAGGCACTTATTCACTAATGGTCGTACCCCTAGGCAACGACCAGGCATCGACTAGGCACTGACTAGGCACTGACTATGTACTGACTAGGCACTGAGCATCAACTTATCGGGCATGTCACATGACACTGTTTTTACTGCAGTATAGCTGTGACAATGCAGCGCATTCTAGTCCAATAGTAGGTCAACCAAATAATGGCTTTGGCACCATTGGAGTTCTTTTTTCAAACCAGATGTTGTGCAGTGTAGATACCTTGTTCTTCTCTCAAATTTAGCGTTTTAAAGTAGCTTTCTTGCTCTCGAACGTATTGGTAACGCTCCAGTTCAGAAAGAATACTGTTGACTGCTAAGTTGGGTTTTTGGGCTGTTGCTTATGGGAATAAACGCTCAACCAAATCACTTTCATCCATTTGTCACGAAGAGAAAAAGAACCAAGTGATTGCATTGACCAGCGAAATACGGTCTTTCCTAGACGGTATTGAATTTATCCGTCGGATAGCAAGCACAAGAGCCTGAGCGCATTGAAGACGTTTCCTCTGTTTTTAAACACAGTCCTATCGACCCCCGGGCGGAGTCGGCGACCTGAACAGCTTCCTGGCTCTCCACCCGGGCCTTTGACGCGCCTCTGACCGAGAAGCTCTCTCCGTTACCGGAGTGGAGGGACAACTTCTGACCGGCGCTGGCGGCGCGGCTGCGGCTGCTCCCGCGACCTCGGCCTCATGGCCAGCCGCTCCCGCCTCCGCTTGTGACCCTACCGCCCCTGGCACCGCCGCCGCGGCCGCCCCACCCTCCTCCGCCCCCGGCATCACCTGTCCCGCATTCACTGCCATACTCTGTCTGATTAACGCCCCGATCGCTGAACCCTTCCTCTTCTTTGCGTGCCTCAGCCGAAGGAAGTGGGCGACTCTCGATCCTGCTGACTTTGATGTTGAAGGAGGTGCTGCCGGGGCTGGTGAGATCGGTGGTATTGATGCAGCTGAGCCAGAAGGTGCTTCCACTCGAGCTGATGGAGGTGCGTCCAGTCTCGCCTCTTCAACGCTAACATCACTGAAGTCACTCCCACAGCTAATGTCGCTGTGGCGGACGGAGGCCTCATTGATTGTTCCTGTGCTCTTACTGTGAGCCAGACCTGCAGCTCTGCTTCCTGTTCTTCGTCGAGGAGGTCGCTGAGGGCTTTCAGCACCGAAAGGAAAAGGACCTCCAGCAGAGTCGGCGTCTGCGTCACCTCCAGAAGCAGTAGGACGCGATGACCAGGTGGCACCAAAGAACTGATCTCTGGCTCGACGAAGTCTCTCGGCTCGAGCGGTTGGAGTGGGACTTCGTCCCTCGGAACCAAACCGAGCGGCCTCGAACGCCGAGTCGAACGAAGAGTCGAGGGAGGAGTCAACACCGGTGGGCGTGGTCACACTCAGCGACGTCACAGATGACGTCACACAGTGTGAGAATGGTGGAAACGGCGACGTGGCTCCTGAGGAGATTGGCGCTGAAGAAGGGGTGGATGGCGTGACAGGATGACCTCCGGAACTCACCCTAGTTCTCAGAGACACCGGAGAGCTAGTCAAATGCGGTACTTGACTAGAAATCGGCGGCAAAGGACTCCATCGCGGGGGACGTCCCGCAAGGCCACGTGGTTCCGCGCCTCTGACGGCGAGCGAAGGACTCAAACCACCAGGACTTCCACTGGGAGGCTCCGGTTGCAACACAGCACCTCCGCTTGCCGAGCGTGCCTGCGCTATGAGATTTGAATCGTGGTGTGTGTCGTTCTCGTCATTATCATTTCTTGAAGACAGCATGACAAGACCGTCTGACAGGCTCTTCTGCAACTGCAAGGCAACGTTGCTTGTGTCCGCACGAGGGCGGTGAATATCCCTGCGCGGTAGGACTGGTGTTGAGGTTTCCGGAGAGTCTGAGATGTTGTTGAATTTCTCAATCATTCCCCGGATGTTCTGTGAGGAGCCTGCAAGAGTCAGAACGCTGCGTTTTGATTGCTCGGAAGGTTGCGGGGTGTAATGATGATGATGTTCTTCGGTGGACGTTGTTTTGGCTTCGATGTCGGGAACATGAAGTTCGGCGGTAGATTTGGTGACGGGACGCAAAGCTTGGCTGTCGTCCTTCTTCGAAGGGTCTTCGTTTTTTGGTTGAGAAACGACACTCTCTGTGGGTGATTTGTCTTGATGCGTGTTTGGGCCCCTGGCAGACACTAACCGAGAAGTTTCAGGTTCGGTCTTCAGCGCAATCTTGCCACTTGCTTCACTTGTTGCGACACCAGCTTCACGAGAAGCCTGGACATGAGGCTTAGTATCGACACATCCTTCCTGCTCGTTGCTTTTTGTCTGCTGCTCGACTTGATCAGGTTCTGGTCTCACGGTGGTTTCTTGGGACACTTTTCTATCGCTCCCGGGCACCTGACCCTTTACACCACCACTCCCATCATCAATCTTTTGGATGGTGGCATCATGTGCGCTTACCTCATCGCGATCACTCAGAACCTTGCTTTTATGCACTTCTGCTTTGTCGTCATTATAAACTGCAGCTTCGCCACTAACTGCACCAACTTTCCATTCACCGCCATCGCCACCACCACCACCAACAGCGGCATCACCAGCAGCAGCCCCAGCTGGTTCAAGCACCAGTGGAAACTCAACACCTCCCTTCGCGACGTGCTCTTCACTGCCTTCCACGCTAGGTGTTGACTCTTGTGAAGTCACCGAAAGACTAGCCTGCAATGGTGGTCGTTCATTCGACGTCACCTCCAGCCTCAGGGGAAGTGGACTTGCGGTAGGAGTCGGGGTTGTGCTGGACAGACGATCAGCTACCTCATCTACTGGGTGAAGTGAGAGGTTCATCCTTTCTAGAGACGTCACATGAGCACCTTCGCGCTGTGCTGTCAACTGCGGTGGTGCATTTTCTGACTCACGTGATGTCAAATTGACGCCTTCGCGTTCTGTTGGAGACCGTGATGGTTCATTTGCGGACTCACGTGACGCATTGACGCCACGTGATGTTGAGGGTGATGGTGTATCCACCTGATCCCGAACATGAACCTGAAGTTTCCCGTGATCCACAGAATACACAGTTCTCTGCGCAGAAACAATCACAGGAGCTGAGGTCGCGGGCGGCAGGCTAGAGAGATATCTTGTATCTACAGTGGGAATTTCAAAAGTTCTTGTGGCGCCGGCGGTGAACAGGCGGTCCTCTGAAGCAGAAGATGGTCCCTGGGAGACCCGCGGACCCTGGGAGTCAGTGGAGTCCCACTCGGCGCCGTGTTCGGATCGTGAGTCGGTGGCGTTACCGTCATCCTCTTCCTCCTCGATGAAGTGTTCGGGGTGCTCAGCCATCTGGAGACAACCAACAAATATTCAGTAAAACGTCGCAAAATTCTGCAGGATGGTGAGAATTCAAATGTTGTTAATGCTTTTTGCTCTAACTCTACAAAACGTGATGGATTCGATATATTTTCGTTCGCGATAGATTCAATATATTTCAACTTTAAGACAAACGAGAAATAGTCGGCATGAAAATAGTTTTCATCCTAACCATAGAATAATACTGATAACATGTCCGCAAGTTAAATATTCAAAATGCGTCCTTAGTTCCTAACCCAATATGTCTATGCAAGAGGACACCTTCCCTGATATCTGTCATCTTACCTGAAACAGTTTGGGCTCATCGACGTCCTCGGAGGAGGGTATACTCGAGGACCGACTCCGGTACGAGGACGGTGTGGAAATGACGTCATCGGAGCTCTTTCGCCGCCGGTCCAGGGCGTACTGCGCCTCGACAGACTCCAGCTCGCGCTGCATTTCCTGCGGGACAGATAATGACACGTCGTGAGATCAAATAAAGCGCCCTGGCATCGAAAGGCGAGAATTGGTAGCTTGTTGGCGTGTTTATTGGCGTGTTTATTTGTTTATTGACTTAATTATTTGGTTATTTGCTCTGCCAAGTTCGGATTCGGTCAACTCGGAAGCCAGAGCCAGAACCTCGACTGTAGATGACTCTCAAAAGTCTGTCTGATAGTGACCATCATCTAGTGTGATAAGTGATGAGAATACTTTGGTCCTAAGGATAGAGTGGACGGATGGTCGCATGAGTTATACCTTTTTAGCGGCATTGTTCACGAGTTACCACTGCAGGAATTATGATTGGGATTATTGTTCATAGATGGCGACAGCAGTAAATGCCTGTAGATAGACTGTGCCGCAAGACATCCAGATTCCAGACGCCAGTGTCTCATGGTCGCGCTGCTTATCGGTTATGATCATACAGCCAGATCGCTGCACATTTGGGTCATTTTGAGCATAAATATATTGTTTTCATATATTTCTATATGCTACAAACCTTGAGCGTTTGGTCGTAGGACGTGTAGAGATCGCGTTTGTTCCTCCATTTAGCCACAGCTCCGAGATCTTCAACGGAAGATCGCGAGGAAGAACATTGCGACGCCAGCATCTCCTCATCTGAAAAAAAAAACAATCAGCCATAGGAAGGTACAGGTCTCGCAGGTTTTAGCGGTAGGTTTTGCACCTAGAAAATTTAGTGTACTTCAGGCTATAGCTTCGTCGTCTTAAGCTTTTAAGTGTTGAAGATGCGATCGACTTGTTGGTTCACAAGCCGGCCATGATCGTGTAAAATGGCTTTTTCGTAGATCGATTAGTTTCTGAGATATAACCGGAAATGTAAAAGTGCAAAACCTACCGCTTAATCTCGCGAGAACTGTACATACGAACATTGGCTTACTTGATAACATATCCAAAAGCTTATAATTTCCTAAGCATATGCAGATTTGAAGAAATATTTAAGACGATTTCGATTTAAACCGAAAAAACGTCTTGATTTCAGACTCAAGCGTTTGCTGTAAACGGTCAGCGCTTGTTTACACGTTTAGTTAATTGTAGCAGCTGTTTATAGGTGATACAAAATTAACTAAGGTATTCTAAAGAAATTTGTATCAAACACGATGCATAAACGTAAAAATTGCGAAAAAGTAAAAAAAAAACGAAACGCAGGATACGTTTACGAACGTCCCTTCAAAACACCACTGAAAACAAGCAGTCCATGCCAGCAGTCTTGTGATCTGTCTGTCCATTAAATTACTCGTGTACTGACCATTAAATACTGATCCATTAAATTACTCCAGTACTGACCGGGACTGGTCGGGCAGAGATCGTCAGCAGTAGATGTGGGCTCGCTGACTCCACACTCGTGACTCAGCTGATCACGGTCTTCGTCTGTCTCCTGAAACTGAGACGGAACTCGTGAAATTTACACAGGCACTCGTGAGTAGTGACTCATACCCGTGACCCAACTGATCAAGGCCATCCTCGGTCTCCTAAAACTGACTCGCGCTCGTCTACTTTTCAAATTCAACGCGTATTTATAGAAGCGATTAAGTCTGAGGTGCTTCCCGATAAAGCTGCAGCATAGAGTAGTAGCACTTACAACAGTGCAGTAAGGATAACGTAAGATGTTGCCGCTTTTTTGGCAAAACGGCAAGCTGTATGGTTCTGGCATTACGTTTAACGATCCGGGCACAGAATGTTTCCCTGTCAGATTTATGATTGCCAAAGCAAACCGATTCTGAACGTTGGGTCGAGTTCATTCAAATCGTTTCAGTGACCCGACACCTTACGAATTGGAAACCGCAATGGTAGACATTTCTCACCTGCCGGTTTTTCTGCTGAGACGGCAGATGGAAGGTGAAGCTGATGGGTTCCTCTGGATTGAAGTCGTCCCCTTCACCCAGCTCCTCCATGGGAGGACTCATACTCAGCGGAGGACTGTGAGGGGACGCTGGAAAACAAGAAAAACAAGTCATCTATCTGATTATGAGGCACGCCTCTAAAAAGATGTCGCCGAGTGAAAGTTGGTGTGGTTCGTAATTGGTACACGTAGCCTTGATCGTGAGTCGTGACAAAAGTCAGCAAGCTTTGAAAGAACGTTGTTGTCACCATCATGGCTCTTGCAACGATTTTTTCGTTATTTATCATCGCTACGAACTTCCATTGCAGGTTTTTATTTGTATCGTCAGAGGTTTCATATCTGATTGGTAAAATTTAAATTAGCCTGTACCTCGAGCGGTGCAGAGAAGCAGCATCTCCCTCTGCAGTTCCTCCACTTTCTTGCTCAGCTGACTGGGCAGTGTCGACCAATCAGCGGCCTGCCAGGCCGGCTTGTCGTCACCTCTCAGCCAATCAGGAGGCGTTTCCGTATTCCGTGACCAACTTCTGCTGTGGTGACCTTGAGAATAGGACCGCGTTGGTCGTTTGCCCTGTCGTGGCCCGAGAGCCTTCTCAAGTCGTTTGGCCTGGAAATGGACAGCACAATCAATGAGGGATGGTAAATAGCATGTCAAGATGCGTGGGCTCCTTCAGTCAAATGCTACAATTCGATGGACCTTTCATAAAAACGCAGCCACTTTGCTATAAGAAACCGTACAACGACAGTGTAAATCTGTGTTCTTCTACATACAGTCCTGATTATTCTTCGAATATAAATGCATAAATGTCCCCACCTGTGATAACAAATCGGTACTGATGGCTTGCAGCTTATCCACTGTTTTCTTATCGATCTGTTTTCTGCGAGCACCAGGAGAAGGCAGGAGAAGACCCTCCGCTGCGTCCACCTGAAGCGCTTCTGTGGTGGTAGGGGCTTCTTCTGGAGCATCTGCAAATAAAGATGGATACCTAAGTCAAACGCGTTCGTGGTATAAGCATCCAATTATAGCACCTTGAGGTTACAAAATGGATTCGGGATCTGTGCCTTCGAGGTAAGGGAAAATAAAAGGCCGTAGTTAGCTTAGTAGGACATATTTTTGTGTCTGTAGAATGATAGAGTCTGCTCCTTCCTCAACCTGATCTCAGTGCACCTAAAAAAACATACCAAGAACTCTTACCTTTAGTGTCATGAGTCTGTTCACTAGCGACGTCTATGGAGGATCCAGCGGCGTGTAGTTTCCTCATATTGCCCACCAGATGTCGGGCCAGGTCCGCCTGCTGATCGCTGTGGTGCTGAAGCGAGGCCTGGAAGAACGCCGCCAATAAGTACACTAAAAAAGATGCTGAATGACACGTTCAAGTGGCGATGAGCTGAAATTCTATAATAAAAAAACTTCCTTTAATTATTTCAAAAGGCAACATTTTCGAGCATTTAGAGCCTATTCAATCGGGACAACTCCATTCCAACAAGATTGACTCATCCGTTGAGTCGCACCAGCCGTTCGTCCAAGCAGAACAATATATCTCCATTTTTCTCTTGTCCAAACCTGTGAAATGATATAACCAGACCGGACAGGCATCACCCAACAAGACGGAGATTTTCTTTTACCTGAATCTGTTCCCGCTCCTCCTGAAGTCGGGCTCCGGTGCCCTGGAGTTCGTTACACCGCTGCTGTAGATTTTCCAGCATCTGCAGGTTGTTTTCTACTAGTTCTTCCTCTGCCTTCAGTCCATCGCCTAGGGCAATAAAAACATAAAAACTAAAAAGAGAGAAAGGCAAATGCTCCTTGGCCAAGCCAGTTACTAGTGAGATCATTTTTGCAGCTCTCAGCGTGCCAGTCTTTTCTACAGTATTTCTAGTTTTTTTTAATTAAAATCAGCCACTACACTGCACTGCCAGAGTATCGAGTTGGAGGCATTTGTCAGAATCTATGGAAAATGTCTACAAAATGTAATTTGAGAACACAAGAACAATCTGATTCAGAACATATGATTTTATTCATGAAGCAGGATAATGAGTCAATGACTCGTAGTTCTTTTTTTTTACAGATTATCATTTGATGGGCTGGTGAAATTCATGCTGCGCGGGCCACAATACTAATCGAGCAGTGGCGTTCTGAATAATGGTCAATTGATCGAGTAGTACCTTCTTTGGTCCGAGTCTTCTTTGTCTTCTCGTCCCGAAGTTTCTCTGAAAACGATATTAAATATGTAAAACGGCAGACATTGATAAGACATTAAACGATCATAACTGTTTTTTCTTCTTCTTAACGTCGCTGAATCACTCGACAGGCCTCACTAGTCGTATCCGACCTTTCAGCGATAGTTATAGGTAGTATTTTAAAGAACAATGACACGACGACGGCAAAACAACAAAAAGGGGTCATTACGCCCATAAAAGAAGATTGACCCTCGATGTAGGCCATTACAACAGATAAAATATTTATGTTTGTTACCTAGTTCCTGGCGATGTTCCTCCTGAATCTGAGTCATGTTCTGGCCAATTTCTTCCAACTTCTCCTCCAGGCAGCTGGAACACAATTCGCCAGCTTAAAATTGTGCACTGAAGAGTGGCCCGACAGGCGACAAAACTATATTTATTGTTCAAATATAACGCAAAATTGCTACTGTCAAAATTACTAAAGCAACGATTCACGCCCTGTGTCTTTTAGACGATTTTCCCATAAAATCGAACAGCATAATACTACCAAAACCAAAAGATTAACCAACAATTAATCAGCCTCACCGGCAAACGTCCTCCTTCTGCTTCAGCTTGTCCAGGATGGAGATGTTGACATCCAACAGACCCGAGTAGGAGCCCCCGGCCTGCTGAGGGTCGTGCCCTGCGGCTATCTCGGGCACCTCGTAGGTCACCAGAAGGTCCTCTCGGGGCCGGTACCGGCCCGGAAGCTCGCTGTCACTGCGGAAATAGGCGTTCATTTTAAGGAAACAGCTAACTTATGCGCTCTTATCTACTGAAAACTAGCAGGCTTCGAAGGCAGCCCTATTCAAGAAAAAGTGTTGCGAAGATTATTACGAGCGAGCGAGCGCAGCGAGCGAAGCGAGTCTTTTCAATATAACGGAAAAATCTCAGTATGAGCGGCCCGGCCCGGCCCGGCCCGGACTGTAACGCTTTTGAGAGGCTTATATCTCAGCAACCGCTGGACCGATTGGCCTGCGGTCTTTTTTGCTGGGTAGCCCCATCCCTTCTACCCCGTAATTGACTACTTTTTGATACATCTCAGTGACCGTCGTGGCACGTGCCACGTGAAATGTCAAGGGTGCTCAAGCTGTTTTGCAAAAGTAGTGATTTTGAGAGGCCCATACCTCAGCAGCCGCTTGGGTGATTGTCTTGCGGTAATTTTTGTAGGGTAGCTGCATCCCTTCTACCAAAATGGTCGGACACTCTTGATCTATGTGAGTGACCCCCACTGCACGTGCAAAATACAACAATAAGAGGCACTGGCGGTCGCAGCCGCTAGCAAAAGGGGGGGGCCAAAGTCACACTCGCGGGACATAACATTTATCCGTCACCGGGAGGGGGGGGGGTGATCGGCTAATTTTTTACGTCCACGAGGCGCCGCACAGTTGGCATTACTTATGCTTCATCCATCTCATTCTTGCGTGAAATCTTTGAGCTCAATTTAAGGCAAAATCACTAGTTCCATTTACCGTCTCACGGTGTGCCCACCGGTCGGGCCGCTGCACCGTCCATGACGACGGATCGGTGTAGCATAGGTATACTGGAAGGTCAGGCACGCGGATTCATGACCTTACCACTATAAAACAATTCGGAAAAGTACAGATGCATCTTGCTAAAAAGTACAGATACCTCTTGCTTTGAACAAGCATGTGAAACCCAGAGAGCATTTTTAGACTATGACATTTACCCATATAGGTACCTAGTTGTGTGGCGGCGGGAGAGAGTAGGTACACCGGCCTCTGGAGACCCCCACAGGTTCCGAGCTTTCAGAATTGGCATCTGAGGGCCGCGCGCGACTCCTGCGGGGCTTCGCAACGGCTCTGTTGGGGCTCACTCAACCTGCCTAGTCCTACTGCTAAAAAGACTGGCCCTGAGCCCTAAGGACTTCATCAGTCTCTGCCAGCCCCAGGACCCACACCGGCTCATGGGGTCCCGACCTCGAAATATGAGGGAATCAGCGCGGGACCATCAGGACGTAAAGCAATCTCGATCAGGACCAACGTAAGGCTGTGCCGGAGACTGCGTGAGCCCTCTGATCTTCAGAAACCCACCCAATATGTATGTTTTCATGTAGAGGCTAGTTTAGAGCCCTCAGAGACCAGTACAGGGCCTGCAAACTACAAAGGCCAGTAGTTTGAGACCATCAGAGACCGAGTTGGGCTCTCAGAGGCTAATGTGGGTCCTTACTCATTACAGGCCAGCATGGGCCCTCAGAGGTCAGCGTGGGGCCCTAAAAGACCGGCATGAGCCGTCGTTGGACCCCAGAGGCCAGCAGAGGGCCCTCAAAGGCCAAGATGGGCCCTCCTCAGAGGCCAATGCAGACCCTTAGAGGCCGGCATCGGGTCTTCAGCAGCCAGTGCGGGGCCCTTATTGGCACCTAAAGGTTCGTCTTGGGACACCAGAGACAGAAATAAGGCCACCGGAGACCGGTGTGAGACCCTCAGACGCCGGTTGGGACCCCTGAGGCCGGTTAGGGGCCCTCATAGGCCAGATGTGGGGCCTCAGAGGTTGATGTAGGCTCTTAGCGGTCAACGTGGGCGCTTGACCGCCACTGAAGTTCCCTCAGAGGTCAGTGTAGGACGTTCAAAGACCGGTGTGGGAGCTATATTAATAGCTGGGCGTGTTTTTTTTTTAGCCTCGTGACGATCGAATAATTGCCAGGGCCCCATACACCTATATGGGGGCCCATTGGTTGTTTGAGGGGGGGGGGGGCAAATGATATAATGGCCCCCTTTATTGACCTTTGGGGGCATGGCCCTGATGCCCCCCCCCCCGGCCCCCCGCGACCGCCACTGTGTACACATTACACACATGCCTCTGAGATTATATACTAGCTCATGCAAACTCTATGCAGGCCCCGGAGGTCCCACGCTAATCCTTAAGAAACCAAGCCGGCATACGGCGTCACCACCGGGCTTCTGAGGTGCACAGCACCAACCCATGAGGTCTTACTTTAGTGTCTTGGAGCCAATCTCCTTTAGCAGGGCCCACCCGCCACTGCCGAAGAGGGTCTCATGCCAGCCATTGCTGAATGCTGGGCCTACGAGAGCCTCAAGTAAACCCACGCTGATATTCCATATAAGATCCGGCCATACTCGTGAACCGGTGCCAGCGACGCTGACCGCCAAATTGACAGAATGCGAAACTGAGCCCACTCATGAGTGAAATTTACGTCCTTTGATGGCGCAAGAAATAAAATGAAACATACGAAAAGCTTTTCTAGGACTTTTGTTCGATCTGAAAGGTGGGGCCAAAAGATAGTATGGCCCCACCTTTCAGCACCAAAGGGGGGGCCATGGCCCCCGTGGCCCCCCCCCCCGCGACCGCCAGTGATAAGAGGTGTCAAATTTGTTCCCATTTTAATGACTCGGTAATTATTGGGGCGATTTCGCTGAAACTTGGCATACAGGTAGAGACCGACCAGGCAATGCACTCCCATGTGTTGCGGTTAAGGTGCTACTGCACGTGCGCACGTGCAGGGGGCGCTCCCAGATCTCGAGAACGGTTGGGCCGATTGCGCTCAAATTTGGTACACGGTTGGGGACCAGTTAGTAGGGTGCCGTGCAAAAGTCAGTTTGGACCCCGTTTGCACGTGCGCACGTGCAGAATGCCGCTTCCAGATCTCAGGAACGGCTGGTCCGATTGCGTTCAAATTTGGTACACCGTTAGCGACCGGTTAGAAGGGTGCTTTGCGCAAGCCCGTTGGAAGTACCCTCTCGCCCTTCCGCACGTGTAGGGCTCACCATCTCGCTCGCTCGTTCTTCGCCCAAACGGCGTTTTACTGGTACCTGTTCAAGAATGGGAAGATTACATGAAAGCAATTTTCTTATGATCAGAGGTAACGTTCATTCCATTTCCATTCCAAAGCTTTGTGAAACACGGTCGGTGCGGACTGGCGCAGTTAGGTTTCAAAAGACACAACTTCAAATCACTGGCGAAAACATAGTCCAAACTTATTTCGGCTAAGCGCCTTTTTCGAATTTTCTCCCTTTCTGCTCAGTGATCATGTGTGTCAAATTGTACCCACCTGCCGCTGGAGTCAATCAATCTCGTTACTTCATCGGGCGCATAGCTATAGACGGGCTCCTGGGCCTGCACCGGTGGAATATCCTCCAGAGGAGCGGCCACCACCTCCTCCACGTCCACCAGCACTGCGCATGCGCCGCAGTCAGCTGAACGGTCAGTTGGCGGCCGGTCCGCCGCGTCCGAACGCAGGTCCGGCTCCGAACACGCCTTCGTAGAGTCTGTCAGAAAACAAATCATGGATTGAGTGAGCTTTGTGTAAGTAAGGCCACGATATTCAGCTATTAGAATCATAAGAACTTTTAAACTAGCCAAATTAAAATAAATTAATGTTAAGGGGACGAATGTCAGGAACTAGGATGGTCAAGAAAAGGAAGAAAATTCACAAGAAGACAAAACAAAATCAAATTCTGTTATCCTCACTCCTGCATAATCCTGACATCGCACTTATATTACCAAGACCTAACAACGAAGGAATGAGAATGCCTAGTCGTAGTCATTTTTTACAAGATAGAATTGCCAGGGTGCTGCTTCTTATAAAAAAAACAGGTGCCAAATCCTTCAACTGCTATTCAAATTTTACTAAAATCACCGATATGCAAAACTCTGCTTTAAAGTCTAAAGTCTAAACGGACCACGGTATAGCGCCGTGCATTGCTGAGAGCGGGAGGCAGGTAGGCTGCACCGCAGCGCACTGGAGCGTACGGCACAGCCTAACTATCAGTGAAAGGAAAGAAATAATGCAGAGGCATGCGTAAGCAAGCGCGTAAGTACCAAGTTTGCGCTCAACTGAAGCACCTGAATGCTTTCACACTTCCCCCAGTTACCTTGTCCTGATAAACATCTTATCACCTACGGTTAAACACGTGTAAACAAAGTTAAACAGTCAAACGGAGTTAGGCCAAACATCCCACCAAGTGCCTCGATTTAGCTGTGAGCGCTAACCTTGACCCTGAGAACTGCCCCTTGCTGACTACCAACAGGGTACAACACCCGACCTTCGTCAGTTCGTCAGTATCAGTCAGTTATCCATGCTACCCTGAGTTCCGATAGAACTGCACTGATCTAACATAATATGCCTCATACACCTCTGATTGTGCCTCGAACATCCGCAAGTTTGATCTCCAGAGCATAACCAAACCCTCCAATAGCGCTTTCTCAAAAACGTATAGCCACCTAAACCCTTCAATATATTAGTATAGCCGTAACTCGTAAGGATCGAATTCCGATCTTCATAAGTGGCACTTGGTGTTCAGAGAGTGTCTCCCTGACCTCGGACTTCAAAGTTTTAGGAGTTCCGCCCCTGTGACCAATGAATCCTCCCTGACCTCTGTAGCCCCTCTCTGACCTCCGAGAGTGCCGTCCAGTCCTCCGGCCGTTTTGTCTTCTGATGATTGGCGACTATGTTGACCCAGAGCTGATGACGTCAGCTCGGCGAGACTCCCCTCTGATTTACACCTGTGGTCATGAGAGCGGAGTAAGTGCAGAGTGAGTAACAAAAAAAATCGAGAACATGAGTTATGAAATATAAATGAGCCTCTTTCACACTTGAAAATGCACACAAACTATTAACCCTCGCCCTGGCAGGGCATTTTTCATAACACGGCCTGGCAGGGGGGGGGGGGGTCGATGCGACCCCCCCTCGCGATTGGCTCCTATGGCACCTAGAAACACCAAATTTGGTAGGTAGGTGGGCCCCCCGGAGTTCTCGCCCCTGTGCAAATTTGGTTGCTCTAGGTCAATATTTAGGGGGTTTGGGGGGGGGGGTATGATTGTAAAAATTTCGCTAAAAACAGGTCAAAAGTTTTTCGCTTATAACTTTTGATCTAATTTAGCTAGCGCAAAAAGAAAAGCACCAGTGAACTCAACACGTCAAGGCGCGTCGAATGAAATACTTTTTAGCTTGCTTAAGTGTACTTAAAGTTTTTCTTAATTATTAAGTAAACTTTAATTAATTGATTAAGTTCAAGTTAACCAAATTGCATCATATCGCATATCATTCGACTCGGCAGATCACCAGGAACACAATGACACCATTTTTGTAGCTCTAGCTTCATTATGTCCCAAGTTATTGGCAAAAACGTCATTTGACCTCAGTTGACCTCATTTGACCTGACCCATGGGTACGTACCCCAAACAAAGAAGCACCAAGTGACCTGCTGTTGCGTAATGTGGTTTCAAAGCACAAAAGTGATAGAACGAAGCGGATATCTCCAGTATTTTCCGAATTTAGTATTTTCCCATAGGCTTAACATTACGACGTAATGACCTCTAACTGACCTCAGGTCAGTGACCTAAGAAAACCCGAACTATATGTTATACAACTCGGTGACCTTAGCACATCCTGAAAGTTTGAAGGAAATCAGTCCAAAACTGTGAGTTGGACAGGTGTAAAAAGAAAATTGAAATTTGACCATGACCTTGTACCGGTTTTTCTGACCTGGTGACCTGACCCAAGGTCTTCCGGACCTGAAACTTTAAGGTCATATGTAAAAAGGTTGCCCCATAAGCTGTGCCAAATTTGGCGGCGCTGCGCGCCGCCGTTTGCAGCGCCGCGCGCCGCCGTTTTTACGCTATCTTCGAAAAACCTTAGCGGGGTCGCATCGACCCCCCCCCCCCTGCCAGGGCGAGGGTTAACTATCAAGACTTGATTGCGCTTCACGGGCTGGGTTGTTCAGTGCTCTACTCTTCTATTTACTTTTACCTCGGTATTTATCGGTATTTCTTCTATTTTCAGTGACTGACGGACACATTTTGTGACCTCACCTGACCATGCGCCCTGTGTCCTGTTCAGCTAGCTCATGGGGACGGTAATTGGGAGCCAGTAGAGCAATCGTTGATGACTCCGAATCGGGTGGGATTCCTGGCAACGAAACGTCAAAGATCGTCGGTGATTTTGAATTATTAGTGCATCAATTTATTCATAATGTGCTTGACATGCTCACCACAAACCGGCCTGCTGACTGTTTTGCTCATGCGTTGTAACTTTCAGTCGTTTTATAACGCTGCTCTTATATTTATCACGGAGCTATCGTTTACTTGGTAGAATAATCCCAGTCACTCCATTTTGTTCTGCGTATAACGGTTATTTATAGTTATTTTCTCTTACCACGCCTCTCTTCCCACTCGTAGAGTTTCTTGGTAAAGTTTTTGTTGATGCCCTCGAACCGGAACTCTCCTTCAGCTGTTTTAATCGTGACCTTGTCCTCCTTGTCCTCTTTAGGTCTTCTCATCGCGTCACGAACGCGCTCCAGTCTGAAAAGAAGAGCGTAGGTGAGGCAGGAAACACACTTAGAAATGCATCCGCTACGGACTGTCTTTGAGAAAAGAAGTAGCATGCTGATAGAGAAAATAAGGTAATCTAGCACAAAACTTGGATGGTCTAAATATAGTACATAACACCAGAGATGGTCGTAGCAGCTATACAAGGCATAAAAAAGGCATTTCAACAGACGACCAAAACTGAAATGCTGTATTAAAGGTATTATCAGGGTTTTTTCCAAAATTTCGGACTTACTCAGTGAAACGTGTAGAAGAAGGTGACTGAAGCCCCAATCCAAAGTCATTCGTCTCAAAATTGCCTAATTTTCCAATGGTGGGCCTCCAAAGTTTTCGCGGCTGCCAGCCGCGTAAACTTGCGAGTACTTGGTGGTCCATCTCTAAACGCCCATAGGGTTTACACTAGCGGAGACTTTTCTAAATATTTCTAGGGAGAATATAATGGATCTAGGGAAAATATAATGGATCTAGGGAAAATATAATGGATTACATCATGATTACATGCTCCATTATATTTTCCCAAGACAAAATAGGGAAATATAGCATAGGTCCGTAACACAACGAACACAACCTTCTTCTCATTCTTCTCAGCTTCTCATTCTAGATATCCTGTGGGTTATCAAAATAATTCAAATTAAAAAATTGTGTTGTGTGCGTTCAAACTAAGCTCATCCCGCGTGTAATTCAAGAATGTCTTAGTTCAAGTAATTAAACTTGAAAGTGATATAGCTCAAGCAATGAAGAAGCTTGGATGGAACTAGTGTTGAATCAAAGTTACCTATCATTTTTAATGCTAAGTGCTGAACGTTACCAATAATTCGAGACATCCGTTGTAAGATGTATGACGCAGATCAACTTTGATCAAGTGAAGAAAATAGATTTCAGATGAAATAATGTCAATGTTCAAGGCTGAGCGACTGGCAGATTTCGGAGTGAGCACGAGTGGCCTTGAGACATTCTGTTTCTGTAGGTACTCAAAATAAATAAATTATCATGTTGTGTGCTTTGAGGTTAAGTGTTATCAGTGGTGCTTCATGGTTGTGCTTTGTTGTTGGTGTATAGGCATGTTTTGAGCACATTGCAGCATGATATTGGTGGTGTGTAAAGCAACTGATCTCCGCAGACTTTGCACTTACTTGCAAAGCCTGCGGACTGACTTTGCAGACTTTGGCTGACAATGAGCAATGCATTGCTGACTGATATCATTTATTCTGTGTTTGTAGCACAAAGTACAGAAGTGGCACATACATTGTTACTTTGAAAACCTGATGTGAATTTTGATGTAGAAAATTGGTGGCTGACATTGAGTCCTGACGTATTGTGAGTAGTGTACATCTGGTGCATTGAGCGCAGACTTGACGTTTGACCAGTGATGTTTGTATCAGTAGACTGTGTTTGAGTCTACTTAAATGGGTAGTCATAAAGCAGGCGTCACACTTCTTTTTGCAACCAAGGAGATGCGCTATACCCAGAGATGCTTTCTCACCAAACCTTACCAAACCAAACCTAACCTACAGCGCCTCTCTTCGTTCGTTCATGGTTGCAAAAAAACAAGTGTGACGCCTGCTATACTACTACCCTTATATGGCCTTGGTTTGAGTGTGGTGACTGAGTAAGCTGGTGTGTATAGCCATGCAATAAGTGTTTTGAAATATATTTTTGGGACAGTATTGAAATGGTGTGTTTTGGCCATCTGGCATGGATGATGGAAAGCCACTAACTCAACTTCAGGAACGCTTCTTCATTATGCTCATCTAAAGCACAATGATCTATTTTCTCTTCGCAAGGATTGATTCCTAATTCACTGTCAATTATAACCTGGGCCAGAAGGTTTCGCTGAGCCACAGGGTTCATACAGATTCATCCACAGTGCTCAGCAGTGTATGTTTTCAGATTTCAACAGACTGTATTTTTTTTCTGTATGTACATATGCATCATGCAAGGGTACAACAGATGCGGTATTTGGTAAGCAGTTGGCAGCAAGGTGGTGTTTGTACTTATTGGCAGAACTAGTTGAGCAGGACTAAAACTATCCTAGTTTCTCTCCAGTTTACTCAGATCAGTCTCAACACATTGAACATATTGAAAGCGTTCATCCATGAAATGTCTGCATGTATACTCATTTCCGAGAAGGCACGCTCGTCGCTCATCCATTGCCGAGCAGGCACGTGCGTGCCCATCGCCGGCGCGCATTAGCGCGCGTCCATGGCTGGGGCGCACGCGCGCGGCCATGGCCGGCATGCACGCGCGCGCGCCCATCGTCGGCACGCAAGCGCGCGCCGCGTCCTTACCCGGCGAGCACGCCGCGTCCGTACCCGGCGCGCACCCGCGCGCGTCCACAGCCGGGGCGCACCCAAGCGAGTTCGTACCCGGCACGTACCGGCGCGCACCCGCGCGCGTCCGTACCCGGCCCGCACCCGCGCGCGTCCACTGCCGGCACTGACAGACCCTGACAGACGGGCGTGCTGCCGTCGGCGGTCCTGACAGATGAGCGGCGGGCCCGGCTCCCGCAGCTCCGGCAGCGGGCGGCAGCCATGGTCGGCATACACGCGCGCGCGCCCATCGTCGGCACGCAAGCGCGCGCGCGTCCATAGCCGGCGCGCACCCGTACCTGGCGCGCACCCGCGCGCGTCCACTGCCGGCACTGACAGACCCTGACAGACGGGCGTGCTGCCGTCGGCGGTCCTGACAGATGAGCGGCGGGCCCGGCTCCCGCAGCTCCGGCAGCGGGCGGCAGCTCCGGTGACTGTTCCGGCAGCTCCGGCAGCGAGCGGCGTCTCCGGCAGCGCTCAGCAGCGGCGCCAAGCAGCAGCAGCGGCTGAGCCAACAGGCGGCCGCGCCCGCGGAGGCACGCCCCCCCCCCCCCCTTTCCACATTGTTCGTCCATGGAGATGTCTGCAAGCACGCCCATTGTTGAGAAGGCACGTGCATCCATGGCTGAGCACTGAGCAGGCACGTGCGACCCCTTTGCACATTGTTCATCCATACATATCAATATAATTTACCTTATGATTAGTGTGAGTCTTACAAAATCTTAAACTCAGAAATACCACAAGGCAGGCTGCCTGGGTGAGTTGCTAATATGAACATAATGAACATTATACATTAGTGCAGTACCTATAAGCATCCATGCTGTGTGAAGGACTTGGCCCTCACGTTCATTCGTTTGGTGATTGCACATGGTGGCATGTGTACCAATTGTTCTCCCTAACCCTTCTTACAACTTTGACTAGCAAGTAGAAGCTGGCAAAATGCAAGGAGCTTACAAAGCATGCCTATATGTAGATAACTGAGGATGATTCTCTCAATTGAAGCATGATCCGCACTCAGCAGCTTCTTCTGTTCTGTTCCACAAACTAAAACTGAAATGCCTCAATTTTCCTCAAAATATATTCATTTATCACTCATAAACAACAAAAATATACATTAAGTAGGTACCAGGGCAATAAAAAACATACAAGTTACATATTTTTTCATGTACCGTCCTTTCACAGCAGCAATATGTAGAAACGCACCAAGACGTTCACGGAGAGCCCACCCATAACAAACTATAGTTGAAGCCGGGGCTCTGCTGCAGCAGCAGGGGAGACGTACAGGACACAGAGGTCATGTCACAACATCATGTTGTACAACCTGTTGTTCGAAAAAACAGATCAACATAGATCTTGAAAAACTGTAGGTAGCGCTTTCTTCAGTCACTTAGGTAAGCTTTCTCGCAAGACGTTACATTAGATTGACCACTCTTGACAAAATAATCAGATTGAAACTTAGCTCTTGTGCCTGATGCACTTACATTTCAACTTATTGAAATAAAACACTCAAATTTACCCTTGAAAATTGTTGACATTTAAATGATATTAATCAAGATTTGATGATCAGCAAACAAGCTCAAGCTATTCAAATCACACCCAAATCAAAATAATAACTTTGGCAATGTTGATAACTCTTGCTGTCTTATTGAAAAGCAAATCTTCAATTTGTTCATATCCAAATTCAATGCCAAGCACTGAAATCTTGTTGCAAGGCCCTAAAAACAACAGACAAAAACAAAACAGACAAGGCCCGTCTTGTGGAAATCGACAGTGCGGTGCGGCGGCCTTGGCGAAATTTCCCAAGGCTGCTCTTTGTTTACATTTTAGTGATGGGCCAACTTGGCCGCCCAAGTACTTGTTTTGCGTGAGTAAGTACAATTTTGTCAATTTTGAAACGGCTATATCTCGCAAATTTTGGTACCGATTTACATTTTATGCATATATTTAGAATCGGCAGAGTCTGGGGAGTTCATTGATTGGAAATTTATGCCGATTCCTTTCAATTTTTAAACCCTGATAATCCCTTTAAAGAAAGCAGTTATATCCTCACCTGGCCTCTCGATCCAAATATTTCTCGCGCTCTCTTTCTAGTCGGGTTTTCTCTCTTTCCACCTGAAAAGAAAAGAAAACACAAATTCACAACGACGTTAACTTTACGTAAGAATAATCTAATGTTGCTCATGGACCGATCGGTTCTTGGCGGTATTAGACACTGTTTCTGCGTTGTGCAGCTCACACAACTAAAGCCTTGTATTGGTAAATGCCATTGTATTCGCTTGCGTTTGAGTGCCATTGATAGGTGGTAATCATGGGCATCATCTATTAACTATGCAAGTTAACGAATTGAGTAGCGACTCCGTGCCGTAGCTAACCTTCTGTAGCTCCCGCTCCAGCCACTGAAGGTCCTTGGTCCTGGTTTGACGGCGCAGTTCTGCTGCCCGGCGCTTCTGACTGCCCGGACTGACCTGCGACACATGGGGAAAGACTCAGCAGTTCGGCTTCGGAAAAGGGGCTTTCAGTGCAACTGGATTGAAAAAGACCTTGCTCATCTTGGGTATCATCATGTTGGGTAAATCATAGTGGACAGACCTCTATACAACTGACAGAAAAGATCGATGGTGCACAACGTGTATAAAAAAACTAGAATACCGACGATGAGACAGTCTTCCGCCCATGGCTAACTACATTCCACTCGGATATGTAGCATTCCTTACCTGAAAACAATGAAGCTCCACTATTCCGCCTACCTGTCCCTGCGAGGGTGCTCCATGGCCGGCCTTGACCTCTGCCATCTTCATCTTGAGCCTCCACTCCTCGTACTTCTTGTTGAACTCTGACGGCAGGTGCTTCTGCAGCTGCTCCACGTTCTGCTGGGACTTGCCGGCCAGCGCCTTGGCGATCTCCCACTCGGTGAGACGCTTACGGAACTCGGCTGGAAGGTGATCCTCCTCCACCGCCTGCGGAAGATGAAACAACAGTGGAAGGACTCACCTGATATCTTGTTAGTAAAGTTAGTACCCGCAACAGGTAACAACTGAAAAATAGATCTCTGGGAAACGATTATTGTTTTATATAATTTATTGATTTATAAAAGGGGAAATGTTCATTCGTTGTTAGCTAATAAGTCGAATAGACCATTTTTTCTCCAAAAGAAAACTCGATTCATCTAACAGATTTCCAAATACCGAACCGCCTTTAGTGGTATGCACTAAGGTTTTGTTCCATTTTCCCCATAATTTTCCCATTCTTTCCTTACCTGGGGTGTTGTAGCGTGTTGCCTCCCGTGTTCCCTACTCTCATGTTTCCCGCGGCGTCGCTCTCCATCCGTGCACTTCCGGCGGACATCCGGCTGGTCAGTGCACTTCCGGCGGACTTCCGGCTGGTCGGTGAGCTTCCGCCGGACTTCCGGATGGCCACCATCTTCGGTTCGTTTCCGGCGACCGCTACCCTCGCGCTGTTTGCGTTCCCACTCGTGAAGACGGCGTCGGAATTCCGCAGGAAGTTGCTCTTCATGTTGTACCTGCGGCATGATCAGGGTAGGCGCATCTTCAAGGTCACAGGTCATGGCCTAGGGTGCCTGAGGGGTCACATCATATCCTTGCGTCATGGCGTCTCGAGAAGCGTAGGGCACGACAGATCTGGATGATGATTTATTGACATTTCGCGATTATTCAATCCAAAAACCGCAAGCACAACTCACATAGCCAAGGATGTCATATTGTAATGTGGAGACATTCCGGGTGTTATGTTAACTAGACTGACCTGAGTGACCTTCCGCTGGCGTTCGACCTCCTCCTTCCTGCTCCTTCGCTCTGGACGCTGCTCATGCTCCTCGGCGACCCGGCACGGGCCGCCGCTCCTTTTCCGCTCCCATTCCTGGGGGAATTCCAAGGGTTCAACGATGATAGCACACGCAATTACGACTGCTTCTTTGCGAGGCACACTCGCCAAAATGTATTTCTTTATAAAAAAAAACTCGACAGATGCCGCCTCCTAAGTGTTCTGTGCAATTTATCTCTTTTTTTTTGTTAGATCGCTCCGCATTTTTATTTTCGTTGCAAAAGCAACGACAATTTTTAAATGAAATTAGGCAGCAATGTAAGGAAAATATATCTCAATCAAATGCATGTCCACCCTCTTACACTATAAGTATCTTGAGCTATGCTTTAAATATTTAAATTCATTAATTTCACGAGTCTCCCCTCCGGACTGGCAGGGGCCGTCGGACTGATTCAGCTACAAACACACACGACCGCCAAACGACATGGCATCACATCTGGGTCACCTGTGACCTCCGGACGCTAAAAGGCAGCCCGATCTATCTCACTCGTCTCCGCATTTGTTCTGCCAGCATGCCTTGTCACATGTTTGGCACCTGCGAGTCTGCGGTCAAACTCATCACACACACGCCTGGTGCGCACTTCCGTCCATCCAAGACAGGTTATGGCAGAGATGAAACACCACATCGTGAGACTAAATATATATCTTGAATGGTTTCTCACTCACAGCAGTGCGGTACCTATATTTAGACTCACTGGGAGCCGCGGACCCAGGCGGGTTTATTTTCATTGAGACCGGGGGCCAAAGCACTATGGACCGTAGGGATTCGTAGTGATGCATTGCCTCACCTGCATTTTCTTACTGAAATCTTCGCTGAGATTCTTTTGCAGTTCGGTGACATGGTCCGCGACGGTGGCGCCACCAGTGACACCGTGGTCGGTTGGGGAACTAGGTGAGTCGGGTGACGCGGATAGCCGGGCGGGCGCCTCGCGCGACCGGCCCGCTTCCGACTCGGAAGCGGGGCAGTCTATTTCTGTTGGAGGGGAGGGCACAGTCAACGGAAGAGTCTATTTATGTTGGGAGGGGAGGCCGGACTGCGATCAGCTGCTACGCAGGCGGCATTAGGGCGTGGCTCAGAAATTCCAGTGTTGAAGGCGGAAGTGGTGGGTGTAATGAAGCGGAGAAACAAATCATCAAAAGTCTCCAGACTGTATTTTTCATCCTTAGTTCGAGCCAAGTGTCTCAACACCACACCGCCGCATCAACATTATCCCTCGCTGGCCTCTCGTCGTGCTGGCACGTGACCTTCCGCCTGATGCAAGTTATGTGTTGCTTCTAAACAAGATCAAAAGCTCCGCTGTCCAAAAGACCACATGATCAGCTGGATCACCGCTAGACCCATGAACTTCCGATGCCTCCGTAGCGACTGCCAAGTCCCTCCCCTGCCCCTCCCTGTCTTCCGAGACTCCCAAGACGAGCTACAAGCCGCCGCAGGCTGAAACATACCTATCTGTTGGTGAGGATGCTCAGGCGGTTGTGCATTGGGAAGCTATTGAATTACGTCTCTCTTAAGGTCAGGTCAGGGTGAGGTCGGATCAGACCGGAAAGAGAGGCATGCTTCAAGGACCATAATTATGAGAAATGTCGCCTCAATATTCATTTTTTTTATTGCGACTGCATCTTCCATCAAACCAGCCAGGCGTATGACTAGCCAATGGGCAGCTCCAGGGCCACTATATAGTATGTATGTTACAGGCAAAGTGAAAACTCGGGCATTTTGCAAAATGCCTAGGCATTTTGCAAAATGCCTGACCGGCCAGGCATTTTGTAAAATGCCCAGGCAGTTTGCAAACTGCCTGACCCACCAGGCATTTTGCAAACTGCCTGAAATATTTTCCCAGGCATTTTGCAAAATGCCTGACATCAAACTCGCACTAGCGACGATGTATAGGTAAGCATCATTTGTAACTGCCGCTTACAAAAGTTAATCGCTGTCAATGCGCACCAAGTGAGGGGACACTGCGTTCTCCGGGTAGCGCCGCCAAGTTAGGGTCACTGAGCCCCAGCGGCCGTCGGGTGCCGAGCACCGGGCGTGGTTTCGTGGGTAAACATGCGCTCGGTACAATGATTATACTCTGTCTAAGAGCTCTTGGTGGCTTTTTGAAAATACTATGGGTGGATATTGATCAGAAAAGAATAGTCTTCCAATTTACGAAAATTTGATTGTTACACGTTTAGGTACATTACCTATCAATCGTCTCTGCCGGAACAATTGCCCACCAGGGCAGAATACTGGACATCGCAGCTTTTACACACACGGCTACAACTCCGTATATACGAAAGGTGGCTCAAGTCCATTAAGCGTTGGCTCCATCTCGACAGAATTGACGCAAGACGTAGGTATACAGTGTCACGAACTTGATACGCGGTTGGCGCGGTCTTGTCCCTCCATAGCCCTCCTGAGTGCTGAATGGATGTAATTTGAACGGGTCCGGCAACAGGGCATCTCGACCAGGGCACTCGGCATCTAAATCGGCCATCCCGCGGTATCTGAAGATTTTACCCTGAAGCTGAAGCCGCACAGCTCAGCCTCGGCTGCAACCCTGACTTACTGTCATCCATAAGTGATGCAGCTGGATTTCGACAAAACGCACCAAATCTGGACCATTCAGGTCTAGAGATTCAGACTTTTCAACGATGAGGCCGTGAGGCGATAATAGCCGTTTTCACGACGGCCATCTGGTACACATTTGGTTCACATCTGGTGCAGATTAGGTGCATATTTGGTCAAATTATGTTCAGTGTGTCTCTTATTAGATATCAGCTAGGGTTGTACTAATTGCTTATATGCCTCCTTTGTCATATTATCAGAGAGCATCATCGGTTAAAACACTGAAATAAATTCATAAAATAAAGATATTTACTGTAAAAGTGATTAGGTGCAGATTTGGTCAAATTAGGTGCACTCGCCGGATAGCCCGTCGTGAAAACGGCTATTAGAGCTCTTCTTAGTCACTAACCGTCTCGACAAGCAGTTCTGGGCCAACAGCAGCTCAGGGGCGCTGCAACGTCGAGACGGTAAAGCACCCACTGGGCACTGGGGATTCTCGTTTGGGGCATGATGGGCTACAGAGGCCTATTTGAGCTTCACCAGGTGCCGCGGGGACAGACCATGTGGCCGCTGATAACTTGTCACCAAGGTACTGGAGAACACTGACGCAGATGCAATACATTTCGGGACACAAGTACAACATCCCGCAACAATTTCGTGACACCCTGTATTCGTGACCGTGCCCGTGGAATGTGTCACATGTGTCACAGACATGTGAAATGTGTTGTGGGGTCAGTCGCAGTGGAACGTTGATGATCAACGCCTGAAGTCAACAAAAACGGTGGAATATATGGAAACCCAGGCATTTTGCAAAATGCCCGGCGGGTCAGGCATTTTGTAAAATGCCTAGGCAGTTTGCAAAATGCCTGGTGGGTCAGGCAGTTTGCAAACTGCCTGGGCATTTTGCAAAATGCCTGGCTGGTCAGGCATTTTGCAAATTGCCTAGGCATTTTGCAAAATGCCCGAGTTTTCACTTTGCCTGTAACATATACATATATATTCGTCGTTCTTTTCTTTTGTTATTTAGGCGCTTCTGACCTTCCAGACTACTCCGCTCAGGTTCGTAAGTTTAGTTTCTCAATGGCGACTATATCTGTCAACTGACGGTGTCTGGATCCGTCATCCAGCTCGAACTGGACCGTGTCGGGCCGTCATGCACCCTGTCTGGACGTCATTCTGGATGGTCCTTCAGCCAAATCAACGGGCGACTCACGCCGCAGCATTTGGCACAATGCCAACTCTGCCAACAGTTGTTTAACACGTTCTCTTGGCACCTCAGGCAGTCGGAAATTAATCGCAAGGTGACCTCTTTTCAAACGATTCCGCTTGGCAGAGCAAGACCGCAATTCGTTCATAAAAAACTTCGTGGGGTCATAAATTACATAACCGACTCAGGGAAGTTGTTACGATGGAACACACGTAGCTATAAAATGCGTTGGATAAATATATGCTACGATTTCTAAAATCAAGTGCCTGTGCGCACCTGGGTGACGTTAACCATTTACCTTGCGTTATCCTATTTTTATTTTTTTTAATAACGTTATGTGATCTGAGCCCCGTTCCAATCTCACAGCAGACCTGTTCAAAGAGACCACCAAGGTGCAAACAACGTCTCCTTTCAGTCATTCCTGGAACCAATGACGTCATTTTCTTCTAGCTGCCCATTGGCTAGTCATTAGCCTGCGAAAACAAACATGGCGGCGGCGGAGCGTTCAACGAACACGCCTCGTCTGCTGCCTGTCCGTCCCTGAAGGCGGCTCTTTTGATCTCAGCGCGTCTGCACGTGCGGCGTCTGAGGTGTGTGTGTGGGGGGGGGGGTCATGACCCGTGTCTTGTACTACACAGTGGGAGGCATTCTGGGGCCTATGTGAACTCGCACCCCTTTGAAGAATCTGGTTTGGAGGGCATGGCATGCTGTTGAAAACTGCAGGAATGATGAATGGCGCCTGGGTGGTATTTTGCTGGTATTTTGTAGACAAGTAGGTACCTAGGTAGACCTAGACATAAACATTGCCAAATACATAGGACCGTAGAGATCTCATTATATGCATATATCAGATCTGCATGTAAGTTAGGATTTCTATGATAGTACGACTTTTCCACAAGCTTCCTTGGGTCAAAGTCGTTTTCTTCGAAAAAAGAACTAAAAAGTATTTTGCTCAACTAAAATTCCTTTCTCTTTATGTTGCGGAGAGAGAGAGAGAGAGAGAGAGAGGGGGGAGAGAGAGAGAGAAAGAGAGAAAGAGAGAGAGAGAGAGAGAGAGAGAGAGAGAGAGAGAGAGAGAGAGAGAGAGAGAGAGAGAGAGAGAGAGAGAGAGAAGAGGGAGAAAAATAGAGAGAAAGAATGGGGGAAAATGCACTGAACCGTAAAGCACACTTAGCTCTCCGCAGCTTGCCCCCAGACACATGCCGTAATCTACGCCCCACTTCCGGGCTATGTTGAAATACTGCCCGCCTTGGGTCTCCGGCATGCCACTATGCCACGTATTCCACAGCTGTCATTCGTGCCACCGAGGCACCAGCTGCCCAAAATAGCAGAACGCAACGGACTGCCGCGTCTCCACGTTTGCTGCTGGTAAGGTGACATGCCGAAAGCTCTATCTTCTCAGCCTGCTGTTTTGGAAGTGGGATATTGGAGAATGGTGAAATGGGATTTGAGAATCCTTTTACAGAGATGTTCTGATGCATCATGCAAATATAACATTATAACAATGTGTAAATGACACAAAAATAAAAATATATTCATTCTAGGCCTAGGGCTTCAGTCGTCCGGTCAAGTGTGTGCAGTCATTTCATTCCAAGACGATAAACAGTTTGAGGAAAAAATAATGGAGGAATTAAAGTGTAAAATAATACAAAATGACAAAAGTAAGGAAGATGGAAAGACGAAGGGAGTGTATTTGGGAATATGGAACACAGGAAGAATGAAACGATACTAAAAAGCAATGAAAGGATTGAAACGAATGCTAGCGAAGAAGCTATATTCAGGGCTGTTGGGGGTAAAAAACAATAGCTTTTTTGTTGGTATGGGCAGCTCCAAGCTCAAAACAGGATGGGCTGAACGGTTGAAGAGCCGATTGTCACATGACAGTCATGGCCTGATGGCTGGCATTTGACAGACTGAAGCCAACCAATGCCAGAATTGTCAAACGGATGTGTCTGGCTTCTATCCGAGAAGATTCTTGGGACAGACGTCATGAAAAGGAGAAGAAAATAATTCCTCAAAACTATTGACTGGTCCTCAGATTATTTAAGTCATATTTTAATTACCATGGCAGCCGATGACCTTCAGGGTCCATTTCCAACGATTAGACACACTCGCGAGGAAGGGGCGAAACGCCACGATAATTGAGAGCGATCACCACGTGAGCCCGCCGCGGTCAGCTTGAGTTTGGCGTGGCGCCGGTCTGTGGTAAACGAACGTGGTCGAGGCGTCGGGCCGCGCGGGAGCTTCTCCGTCGGTTACCCCTCCCCGCGTCGTCACCCCTCCCCCTGTCGGCGGGGGTGGGAGGGGGAGGCGTTCAGCCTCCGCTGGCTATGTTTGCTTTGGCTGCTGTGCTCCGACGAACAACGGAATGGGACGGGCCCCCGGGCTGTGGCTGCCGGCGGATCACCCATCTGACCCCGCGACCTCCTCCTGGAGCAGACACCCGCGGACACCCCACGGACACCCGCAGACACCCTGCAGACACCCCCTGACCCCAGCTGGAGCCCCTGGACTGATGGGTGTTATGTCTAGCACTAGACCAGATCAAGGAAGTAAAACAAAAAATAAGGATGGGGTGGTTCTCCTAGCCATAGTCACCATTGTTTATGCATAGGATGAAGTGGAAATCTACCGACATCTTGGAAGCAATGGTCAGTGTACCTACCTAATGACTTATCGGAGAAAAGCACGAGATCTACTCATTTACTGCTTCATAAAAACTGTAATAAATCCAATATAATTCTTACAGGTACCAAGCAACTTTGGTGATGACCGATTGGACGCAACACAATCTTCTTTTCTCTTGCGGCTGATAGCATTTTTATATTTATAGTGTGTCGTATTTTTGTAGGCGTAAAACTATTTGTGGCGCTGCCCTCTGCTCTCCGGCCGACGCAAGGACGCAGTCAGCTGATCAACTTTGCCCCGGGCGGTGTCGTCAGTCGCACGCTGCCGTTGTTGTAGGGAGGGGAAAACACTCCTGCAGAAGTGCGTACAAAGCTTTCGTGTACTCGCGTTTATATTTGTTTTTAGTGACAATTTCTTGAAACAATCCATTGGAGAAACTTTTGAGCTTTACATGACATGTGAAATGCGGTTAGTGCCAGTGGTAGTAATATGTATGTGTAAAATCAACCACAGTGAAAGACAGAAACATCAGTGAATACCGGTGCGTAAATAAGGAACCATTTGAAGGAAGCTTTTCATGCCACAAACGACGGTTTCCTCGATGCATGGTAAGTGTTGTTATTTGATTGTAGTGATGATGTTTTCGAGATACAAAGTCTCATTTTAGTTATCCTGGGTGCCGTTTTATATCAGCCTCGAAAGATTCGATCGTTACTAAAAAATCGTTTTTTATAACTAATCGGCCAGCGAAGGGCTGTCACCCGTGTTTCGTATTCTCAGGACGAACTACCCCCATCCATGTTCACTTCACACAACAATGAATTCTGATCGACGGTCACCCCGCGTAGACACCGTGGAGGGAAAACCCGAAGGTGGCATACTATCTCGGGGTATTCGTTTCATTTTGAGTGACCGGTGGGCCTGTCACGCCGAGGCACTCAGCAAAATGGGCTCAGCCACTGTGACGATTGGTCTACTCAGCCCAATATATCCGCATTACCGTTTCAGACCATAGCCCTGAAAATTGAAATGGTGTAAATATTAACCCGCGCCCTGCTGGGGGGGGGGTGTTTGAACACCCCCCTTGTGGTTTTTCGCGAATATCTCAAAAACGGCGGCGCGGAGCGCCGCCGTTTTTGGTACACCTTATCATACATCAATTCTACACATGTTGTAAAAATTTTAGACCAAGGTCATTCAAGGTCAGGTCACCAGGTCACTTGAAGTGACCTCACCTCATAAAAAGTTTCAATGTCTGTCATAGCTACACCGAGTGACCGATCGCTTTGAAACTTTCAGCGATTGCTAAAAGCAATAGCATGTACAAAATGTATATCTCAGAATTTTGATATCGATGACCTAAGGTCAGGTCAATTTTGCGACCTACCCATTATAAGTCAATGGGAGAAAATTGAAATGCGCCTCTTTTGGATGAAAGACATTATAAACACTCCCAAACACCGAATTACAAGTGGTTTAGACACACTGAACTTGAAAATGGTGTCCGTGACCCTTGTTTATGCCCTGAGGTCATCTTAGGTCACGAATGGTATCTAACAGTTTTTCGCAAATAACTTTTGATAGAGGCATGCTAGAGCGATGAAAACGCCTTAGATGTGTTCAGCTCGACGATACGGATCGACTGATATGCAACATGACCCTTTCCGGTCAGGTCATGACCTTGACCTGAGGTCAAATTTTCAAGTTGACCTTTCAAGGTCAAGTTATAGTTCATTCGATGCGTCTTGACGAGAGGAACACGACGCCGGTAAAAGTAAGCTCGTACAAGGCTTGGGTCAAAAGTTATTGCAGAAAAACTGTTTTCGAAAAAATCGGCTATTTTTGCAGTTTTTGCCCCCTGCAGGCAAAACCGTTGACGTTAGGTCAAATCTGATGAATTACTCAGAAAGGGTGTTAATAGGGCTATCGAATGCGCTTTTCCGCGGCACTGTAGCTCTATTGGTTCCCGAGTTATGCGTTGGCTTCTTGGAAATTGTCGACATTCGACCTGGAAATCGGCGAAATTTTGCCTTCAATGACCTCTGGTGACCTGACCTTTGACCTGACCAAAAAATTGACCGAAGTGATTTCGTCATTATTTTTGACGCTCTTTCGAACGCCGCCTTCTGCGTATCGCTACGTGGCCCAGGAGCCGAGTTACAAGGGGGGGTGTTCAAACACCCCCCCCCCCCAGCAGGGCGTGGAAATCCAGGACCCCCAGCAGGGCGCGGGTTAATAGACCGAAAGACTTACAAACCCACCCCCAAAAGAGATTGGCCTTGACCTACCGGGTAGCTCGTGGCCAGTCCGCTGGAGATCCTTCCTTGTGGCTGGTCCCGTGAGGAACGCCTTCTTCACCTTGGACCAGTTGCTCTCTCGCCCCAGACTGCTGGTTTGAGACTCGTAGGTCGGCCGAGTGCCCGCAGAGGCCGAACGCTGGTGCTGCGGAAAAAAAATAAGTGCCTAGACATTACATTGGTCTTTTTGTTTAAAAAGCTGTTGTGTATTGCGCGTTTAAATTTAGAGCTTGGAAGCTATTGGAATAACAGATAAATTTTCCCATGGAGATATGCCCATTATGGATTTGTCACCATATACGACAGTCGACAAGCTAGACAAAGGTATCTACACTCTGCGACAAACGGACACAAATTTGTCACAATAATGATGTTAATCTATTTACTCCCAGCTTTCTTGTTAGACTCCCCGCTCCCCCAAAATAGGTCTCTCACCTGTCCAACCGATCCTTCGTGGCTCTCTTCCCTGGACGATTGTCGCGACGTCTCCTCCCTGGAAACCTGTCTGGACACGTCGGGAGGAGACAGTCGACCTTCCTCTCTTGACGTCTGACGAGAGGCCTCCAGCTGAGGATCTTCTCTGGTGCTTTGTGTCGCCTCAGCTGGGCGCGATTCACGAGATTCGTCACGGGATACGTGTCTGGAGACTTCACCCGACGCTGGATGACTCTCGTCTCGTGAATGACGTCGTGACTGCTCCAGGGAAGCGTCCTGTGACCTTCGTCGCCAGCTGCCGGCGCGTCGCAAACGTCGCGATTCGTCTTCCTCGTCAGCGACGCTGGTGTAGCTTTCGTAACCCTCAAAGTCGCCACTAGGTGTCTCTAGTGTTGCCCCGTCCGATACTGCGCCGTCGGTCACATTGCCACTGGCGCCACCTATACCGCCGCCACGTCCCGATTTCTTTTTGGCGCTGTATTTGCGCGGCTGGACGATGGCGCGTACTCTGCCCCACGTGCTTCGGTCTTTCTTGTCTTTGGTTTTGTCGTGTACGCGAAGAAGTTCGCGATCGAGCGACTTGGTTTTGGAAGTTTCGTCTGGACGCCATGTTTCTAGAAGGGAGAGCGAAGCGTTTTTCGGCAATTCTGTGAGAGGAAAGAAAACGGATATTTGAAAAGTATATACCACATAGCATAAAAGAATGTCGCTGGGATAAAGATGAACCATAAAAAAAATAACGAACAAAATACAACAGTCTGGGGATGTAAACTAGAGCCACTAAAAGCCCCTTGTTTGCAGATCTTATCATTGACACCTCACTTTGGCTGGATACCTTACTGAAGACAAGCTCATGAAACAAAAACACAGACCAAGTGGGGTTTGACAGGCCATTGAGACATCTCTTGCGTTTGCTGGAAAGTAAACAAGGGCGGAGGCCAAACTCAAGGACTTGGAGGTTCTTCAAATACGACAGGCGACTTTGAACCACCATAACTATTTCGGTTTATGCATGTTTTATGGCAGCCATAAAGAGAACTAGGTTATGAAATTTACGACGGATAGGTACTGCCGAGTGCCGGAAGTAAGTTCAGGATGGAGGTAACTTCATAAAAGATGAGCATATCCTGCACCATCTTACAGCAGTTTCCGCTCGATCTACAACATCTTGGCCCACCTACCCATGTCATCCTGTTCCCTCGCCATTCGTACGAAGTCGGGTTCCGTGAGATCCTCCGAACTGGAGGCTGTCGAAGAGGACATCGAAGACACCGCCGTGTTGGGCGTCAGGCCCGTGGAGCCTCCTGGGAAGAGAGAAGCACAAGTGCGTATACAATGGAGAACGAGGGAGTGCTCGCTGCTAGTCATTTTGACTTCCGCATCGCCGCTTTTCCGGCATGTCTTTTTCTTTTTATAGATAACGCGAATAATGTTTGATTACTAAACATGCGAATAAGTACTATTCATATTATTTACTGTAAAAATCAGTTAGATAGCATTACATGATTATCACATAATGTTATGATTAGATGCTATGATAGCATTGCATTTCACGTTAGGCGGCACGGGCGGACATCGATAGCAGCGCCTCTATCGGTCACTAGGGAAAGCTGGGCTGTAGGCGACGATATACCGGCTGAGTTGTCACACGTTGAATAGGTTTATAGCCATCCGTCTTGTGAAAAAGTTGAACTTTTGCCTTAATATTTCTACAGGCAATTTTAGAAGTGTCTTCACATGGATTACAAAACCATTTAGATTATTGTATTCACTTCAAGCCTTCCCTATTGTTCTTGATGATGCGGGAACTATTTCTAATTAGTGTTTCTAGCTTAGTAAAAGAACATACTGTGCAAACGATGAAAAAAACATAAATGGAAGATTTTAAATGCAATTTTCTCTAACAATTAATGGTAAATTCTCTACATATCAAGGAAAAGGTGCATGCTATTTGATAATTTAAAGTTCTTGGGGCCAGTTGTTTTCTTCTTTTCTTACGTCGCCCTAATGGCCGCGAATACACTTGTGATAACGCCTATCGAAATAAATAATGCGATCAATAAATTATAAAGCATAAAACATATACGTAGTTGGCATAACTCTCCCACACAAAAAAAAAAACACTAAAAACCACGGGTAACAAAATATATCAACAAACCCATTCGGCATTCAGCCTGTCTTACGCCCCTGACCCAGTTCTCTCATCTCCCTTCAACACGTGCAGCGCATAGCGGGACGCTAAGTCAGCCTCTGAATCACATCACATACCAGCGCGGCTTGTCACATACTCCGGCTGAGATCCAGCGTCCCCCAACCATGCCCTGTGACCACTTAGCGGGCAACCACGTGGGTCACATCTCGGTGACGAGACTGTCTGTCTCCTCCCCCCTCCCTCCCCCTGCGGAGAGTCTCGAGCCAAGCATCACACGGGGTGGTCGCCTCCCCCCGTGCCATCCTCCCAACACCTCAGGTCAGCGGGGAGACGGATGGGTCGGGTCAGACGAGCACCATTGAGACGAGAGGCACAGTCAGCTGATGTAACTGGCGGTAATTTGTATCACAAGGAGGGAGTGAGAGGGTACCTAATGTTGCCAGAGAGAAATCAATTGACTCATAGTAGAACAGCTGGCTGAGGATATATAACCACCTAATGGGGGACAGAATAATTAACTAGCCGCAGAGGACGGAATAGGCGACTGACTGACAACAGAACAGCTGACTGACTGAGAACAGAACAACTGACTGACTGAGGACAGAACAGCTGACTGACTGAGAACAGAACAGCTGACTGACTGAGGACAGAACAGGTGGCTGACTGAGAACAGAACAGCTGACTGACTGAGGACAGAACAGGTGGCAGAGGGTAGAAGAGCTAAATGAACCAATCGGCAGACATCAGGGATAGAAAAATACACGAACGGCACTAATTGGCTGACTGCTGAATAGCAAATGTAATAGCATGACATGATTTGTAGCAGCTAAGTGGCAGGGTCCTGTCAAAAGACGAAATGAGATTAACCAACCGATTGATAGAAAGTCGGACAAAAATGAACACCTGAGCCCCATTCCAAAATCGAAATGTCGTGCTTGGTAGCTGCCCGAGCGAACTTTGGGCTGACATCCTGTAAATATGTATCCCTCCTCATTGTTTTTTTCCACTTATCTTATAGGAAATACCTTGTTTATAATATTTCGTTAATTAGCGAAATCATGTTCAAAGCAACTAGGATATTCCTAAAAAATACAATGATCATTTTAAGCTGTTGTACTTCACAACAAAGCCGATGTTATGTCGATGCAACATAGCACTGCAACGTTACAGCTTGACGTCATGCTCTCCTCTTTCTGCCGCTACCGCTGCCAACACCCATAGATCCCAGATCAC